TTGGGTTCGTGGACGTTCGTGCGACTGCTGTTAGAGGTTGAAATTAATGCGTTTTGCAACTGTCAATTCGGAGGAAAAAAAAAAAGCAATCACAAGTAAAAATAAAATAAAATAAAAAACAGAAAGCACTACACGAGACAAAAAGAATGGCAACCAAAATCCCAATACAAATAAAAATATAAATATAAAAAAAAAGAAAAAAAAAAAGGAAAAGAGAGAAAACAACAAAAGAAAACAAGTGGTAGAGACTACCACGTGGGGTCCTTGTTGCCAGTCTTCTTCTTGTCATTCAGCTCAAAGTGCTTCGTGCGCTTGAGCACGTTTTGAATGATGGACTTGCAGTTGGAGCATTGGAGCTTCAGGACAATCTTCTTTGTCGTCTTGGCCTTCTTGTGGAAAATGGGCTTCGTCTGACCGCCATAACCGGACTGTTTGCGGTCGTAACGCCGTTTGCCGCGCGCATAAAGACGTGCCTTGCCAGCCTTGTACTGCACAACCTTAAAGCTCTTATGCGCCTTGCAACGCGCGTCCGGGCAATACATCGTCTTCTTCTTCGGGTAGTTCACCATTCTCAATGTACCGAGGCGCGTGCTTGTGTCTGTCCGTCTGTGCCTGCACCCTGCCCTTGTGTATGTGAAATAAATGGAAGAAGAATTTTTTTTTTTGTTTCTTGTTTTTGTTTTTTTTTCGGTTTTTTGTTAGAAGTGGAAAACAACAATAATAATTAAAAAAACAAACAAGAAAGAGATGGTTAACACAAATATTGGTTTCACTCGTTTGTCCCAATGTAAACCTCTTGTCGCTGTGTCTCTTACTCCTTTTTGCCCCTCTCTTTTTTTCTGCATCCCTCGTCTTTTTCGCGCGTCTGTTTCCATTACGGCGTAATGGAGAAAACTCACAGAACAAATGCATTACGCACCTCATGCGTACTCGTCATTGGCCGCGGCGGCTGTCTGTTCGCGGCAATCGTATGCGTAGAAGTTGCGATAGCTCAGCAATATTGGAAGGACCGTCGCCTGATGGCCTGAACGCACGATATCATCCAGCTCGACCCATTCATGCCACTTTGGATTAATCATGTCTATCACCTCTGAAAGAATCGACTGCGCAGAAATGTCTGTCATGAGGCCGTTTGCAATAAGTTCGTTTGCAATCGCTTTGCAGAAGCACCGCAGCGTTTCAACCGTCACAAACTTCCTGTTCTCCTCAAGATCAAGTATGCTCCAAATGTATTTCATCGCAGGGAGAGTCGCGGCGTGCTCTGTCGCAATGACAAAGTCCAAGTAGGTCTTGTAATCCATAATGTGTCGCTTGCCGCTGTGTGGAACGTGGCACTCAAAGGCTCGCTCAATCACCAGCCGCGTGAAGCTGCCGTCACTATAGCGGGAAAGCTCATCCACCGTGAGGACACCATCACCGTCAATGTCTAGACTCGTAAAGTGCTCGTAAATGCGAGCCATAAGTGCCAGGGAAAACCAGTTGTCCATGCAAAGTACGTCTGGTTGAAGAAATTCCGTTGATCCAGAGTTCCAGTACAACTGGCCGCGTCGGACTTCCAAAACTACGCCATCTGTCAACGTCTTCACAATATACATGTCGTCTTGGTTATTACCCTCTCCCTCATGGAAAAGCACAAGGGCCGGAATCGTGTCATCCTCCGCCGCATCGGCAGTCACGAGTGACGCAGCCACGTCAACTGTACACCCTTTTGTGAAGACCACAATGGCATCGTTCGCATCACTCTCAAACACCCTTAAAAGTTCCGAGAAGACATCGCTTTTCATCATGCTTTCAATAGATATCGCTCCCGTGCGTCTTGCGTCACACATGAACATAAACTTCCTAGAGGCATGGCAAAGATAGTACGGCTGCATCCAGGGCGGCATATCGCGAACCAGCCGCAAGTTGGGAAGCAAATCGTATAAAAACGCCTCAATATCCTCCTGTGTAAGCCCGTTTGAAAGTGGCGAAGACGAACTCGGGGGACACAACAAACGATGGGTAACCCTCGTGGTGGGATCTTGAAGAGATGGCGGTAAAACTCTTGCCACCAACTCCAGTTCCACCCGCATTCTGTATAGCAGAAGACGCTTCGCGGCAAAGGCATACATGGGAACAGCGGGAATCGTTCCGTCCTCGGCTCGTGGGAAAGCGAGGAAAGTTGCCGGTGAAAGAAAGGGGTGGTTAAAGTAAAGCTTTTTGCGGGACTCTCGCTCCTCTACAGACGCCTGTTTTTCCTCCTCAGGCGAAACGCGAAAAACAAGGCTGTACACGACCTTCCTATACCCACTGTAGGATAACCGTAGCTCATCGTAAGAATTTACTGTATCGAGCAACTCGGTGCTGTTTCGCTCTCTGTACTTCACAATGCTGCTCCAGAGCTCGGCCGGGTTGGTATTGGCGTATAACTGCGTGACATGAGCGGCAAGGTACTGTCGTCGCGCCTCGCAAACCGTCAGCATCGCCGCTCTATCGCAGGGAGGCATAGAAGGAAAAAACGACGGCATGGAGACTATTGACAATTTACATTTTTTTTTTGTTTTTTTATTGGGAACAATAAAAAAAGAAAAAAAAGAGATTTGCGTGCCACATGGCAATGATATATATATATATATATATATATATATAGATGTACATATAAACACAGCAAAAAAATAAGTATGAGAAGTAAAGAAAGCAATAAAGGTATACGTGTGTAATGTATGCATGTGTGTTGGCGTCTTTTACCCGCGACAACTCTGGTACTGAATGGACAATGTGAAGGAGGCGGTTCTCGACCGCAATTTCCCTACGGCTGTGACGACTTCAAAGCCCCGCAATCGCGACATGACTCACGGTCCCTGAAATTCTTGTATCCACACCCGCAAATCCACAGTGAGGGGTCAGTGGCACCGCTCGCTGTCGCAGATAACGTTCCGCAATTCTTGCAGCGTGCCCGTGAAGAAAAGTTAAGAAATCCACACTGATCACAGTGCCAGTCGTCACGCCGTGCAGACACGGCGGCCGGTCTCGAGGGAGCTTCGACGGCTCCGTTTATGCTACCGCAAACCTCACAGGATGTAGTCTTTTTCTCGTTGACGGTGTGACACGTCAAACAAGTCCACGGTGCCTGCTTGGCGCTACTGTCTGCGCGGGGGCTGGTTGTGCCGGCGGGATTCACAACGGCAGGCTTCCAGCCGCACTGCATACATTCATTGCGCACGCGAAAGTTATGCGTTTTGCACTTCTCACATATCCAGTCGCCGGGAAGTAGTCGCTGGCCGCTCCCTTGTCTCTGTTTATCACTTGCCTTCCGCGGTGCCTCGCAAGACAGACAGCGATCCCTCCACGCAAAGTTGTGCGCCCCGCAGGCACACATCCAGTCACCCCTCCTAAAGCTGCTCTGTTGCGCTTCCATCGCTGCCCGTGGCTCATTAACGTCGCGAGGAAGCACCAACTTCGACCTGTGACACTGAAAGCACACCGCCCTGGACGCAAAATTTGAAAACCCGCAGGCGCACGTCCAGTCACCTGCAAGGCGCGGGAATAAATACGGCATTGTCGTGTGGTGCAGATTTCGACAAAAAAAGCCCGTCACCGCAGCCACGCACCGAAATTTAAATAACATGCACAAAGTGCTATTCACAGGGCCTAATCAAATAGAAAAGGCAAAGAAGAAAGAAAGAAAAAGCAACAAGAACAAACACCGTGGCAAATATAAAAAAAACACCATGCACCAACGCATGTATACAAACACACACAAGAAAAAAAAAACAATCAACTATCCCACCACCACAACTCTCCTTCTTCCTTTTCTGTCTCCACAGATCCGCACATAACAACTAAATAAAGAGTGATTTTTCTCTCTTTTTTTTTCTTTTTTTTTCTTCCCTTGCTGTTGTTAATATTGATGTTCTTCCTATTAGGTGACACAAAAAAAGGCATCTATCCGTACGGATATATATCTATCAGTGTCTCGTGTGCTTCCTTCTAACTTTCTCATTTCCTTTTTTCCCCCGAAAATGTGCAAGACTACGCGCCCATTCTTCCGCACATTTTATATATAGAAAACCCTTAAATTTTCCCCTTCATTGTGTGTGCTTAGTCCACATTGCATGGGAAATCCCACGGCTATGCCCACCCTTCGGCGTCATTATCGTAATCGTCGGTCGATGCAGGAGCAGCCGGCGTTGCTCCCGCCTCGGTGCCCCTGGCCAACGACGGCGGTGGCGCGGCAGGCGTTTCATCATGCACCTCGGCAGGTAATGCTGAAGTGTCGCCGCGGGAAACTGTAGGGGGCATAAACGGTTGGGGAGATCCAACAGAAGCGGCGCTGCCCTCCTCCTCTGGGCTATTTCCAGCGGGTTGTTGATCCAAATGTCCACCTGCGCTTCGTTGTGGGGTTCTCTCCACAACCTGCGAAAGCGGCGGTGATGCTGGCAAGACAGTTCTCATGTTTGGAAAGAGATTCGGGTACGCCGTTGGGCTGGCGATGGCCTCACGCACGCGCGGCAACAGGGCGACGGCAACCTTCCACTTCATTACCACCTCTTCCACCTTGCTGTGAGCGTATGTGCGGGCGTAAAAGGCAGCCTCCGCAACCTTCCCTGTACGGCACAGCAATTCCACGTTATCCGCGTAACGCCCTGTGAGGTGGAAGCATGTGAACGCAACATTTGCCTTTCCATTCGCAACACATGTGTCTCCCAGTTTTGACATTGCGTCCATATCACCTCTGCAGGAATAGAGCAATAAGAGACCATTGCTATCGCCGCATTTGTGCAGAGCTCCCTCGGCCAATTCAAGCATGCCCTTCTCAAGAGCGAGGTCAGCCACCTGCTTCCAGCGAACCATAGACGGGGACCTCTCCGCTATCTCGTTTGCCAGGGACACTCTTCCCAGCTGCACCGCCAGATCGAAGCGATGATCATCGTCCGTGGTCACCTCCAGTGCCATTTCAAGGCGGTTTTTTGCCTGCAAGAATTGCGCTATTCGCATCCTTTCACTCATCTCAATGGAGGGAAGAAGTTCCTCAGCAGTCGAAAAGTCCTCACGGACAATGGCAGCCATGTACTCAATGACTTTCAGACGAAACAGATAGCTCGTGATGTTCTTGTCCTTGTCAATACATAAAATCCGGTTTTCCCTCGGCAAGTAACCAAGAAGATACTGATTTCGTGAAAGCACCCCAATGCTGTTTGTCTCGCCACCAATGTAGTAATTCAGTCGATGCGCCTGATTAACAAACAAAAGACAATCTCCAACCCAGAGAACCTCCTTCACGCTCTCCCCGACCTCCTCTACGACATCGAAGGCAAATTCCAGCCCCTCCTCAGGGGTGCTTTCTTGCGTCTCAAGGAACTCCATTACCGCCTCACTGCTAAAACGCAGCGTGAAAAAGGCTGTCTCAGAGACTATGGCCAGCAAGTCACCACCGTCATTCCATTGTACCATCTTGGGACACTCGTCGATTTGACGAATGAGGTTCAATGATGTCCAGTCATAGAAAGTGATACTGGATGCCGTGCAAACACCCAGAAGCGGGCCACTGAACAATCTCTCCGCTGATTCACTGAGACTGATTGTCGCACGTTCCCTAAAATTTTTGTAAATTTTCAACGTCATGGAAGTCTCCAGGACAGCATAGGAGCCGTTCTCGGGGCCCCACACAAAAGAAAGACATGTACCGTACGTTTTGGGTCGCATAGAAAGTGACGAAAGAACCGTGTAGTCATTCTCGCCAATCACAGCAATAAACTGTCCACTTGGGCCGTGCAAAATTGCAGAGGGCGATGTCTCGAGAGCGCCCATGTCCTTTGTAGGGAGAGAAAGAACATCGCCATCAGCCGCGTCTGACGGAATAGTTTTTGCGTCAATACGCGTCACTTCATTTCCAACGGCTACAAGAATTTTTCCAGAAGAATCCATCGAGTACACAGGTTTGTCCTCACCCACTCTGTACACCACTGTCCCACCGTCGTAACCAACAACCAAAACGTTTGTATAACGCCTTGCCGCCATTGACCACCCCCGATTCATGCGAGAATGGTCAAGACTTAAAAGAAGGCGGTGGGTATCGAAGGCGATGATTTTCATCTCCATGTCTTCTGCCAGTGTAAACAGCACAGGTTGACTTGGGTGGAAAAGAACTGCAGTAACATTTGCCGTGTGGTAAGAAAAAACTTGTAGGCAGGCTTTTGTCTGATAATCCCACAAACGCACAGTCTGATCATCGGCACCGCTAAGCAGGTAGGGCTTATCACCGCCAGGGTAATAGTCAACGCAGTTCACGCCATCTTCATGTCCCTCAAGTTGGAAATTTGGCACCGGGCTGTTGATGCTCCACACTTTTACGGTGCAGTCTAGCGAGGCTGTGGCGAAGGTGGAAGGGTCCTTCGGATTGAACACGACGCCCATGACGTAATGTAAGTGACCTTCGTGTGTGTTTACGTGAGCCCAGTTTTTGCTCCAGTCCCACTGCCGGACCGTCATGTCATCAGAGCAAGTTAAAATAATAGGCAGCTGCTCATGCACAGCAATGCCTCGGATATAATCATCGTGTGCCTGAAAGGTCTTCGTCTTCTCCATCGTGTTGTAGTTAAAGACGCGAATCATCATGTCATCCGTGCCGCAGACAAATGACTGAAGCCGGGGAATAAACCGCACGCATCGCACCGGAAGCCCCGTGCCTGTATCAAATGACTTGAGCATCACTTGGGTCTCAATATTCCACAAGTTGATCACGCCAGAGTACAACGAACAAAGAAATAACGGCTCCTTTGGGTGCATGTCCACCATCTTCACCCGATCACTGGGCGCCGACATCAGCGTCCCCAGTGCCGTCATCGGTCTGCCTGACATGTTTGATGGACACTCAACAAAATCAAAAATGAAAAAAGTATTCTTCCTCTTCTCCGCTTTGTTCTCTATGATCTTCAGCGCTCTCGATCTTCCTTCTTTTTCTTTTCCCGCTTGTTCCTCCCTCCACAGACGCACCGTGCGTGAGTGCGTGAGGAGGTATAAAAAAAAAAAAAAAGAAAAAAAAAAAAAAGAATTGCGCGGATCGTTACAACGCAAAACAACGGCCCAAACACGTGCGGCACGCCGACACACACGAGGAAACATTCGGCCGCTGCGTTTAATTCCAAAAAGCAAAATTCATAAAATAGGAAAAGTATCATAAAGAAGTGTATATTCGTTTTATCAGGATAAACACATATGCATACATTCATTAGGGCTTGCCAGCTCTCCCGCGATCATTCTCTTCACAAGCTCCCAACAAAAAAAAAAAAAAAAAATTACTCTCAAAAATAGAAAAAAAAAAAAATCCCAATTCCAAAGGGCGCACAGAACTAAAAAAGATAAAACGACAAACATAAAAATAAACAAAAAAAAACATAAAAAAAAAAAAACAGAAAAAAAGCAAGACGGTTAATAGTTTAATTTTCTTTTTCTCATTTTATTTTTAGCGGGAGGTCTTGACACCGCACCAGCGTCTACTAGCACCATGCAACAAAACAGAACAGTGTGAAAGAAAGCAGAGGCAGTAACAGTAGCCGTGGTTCATATGCAGGCGCATAGTGACTGCTGCTGTCACTCCCACTGCGTCTGACTCGCCTATGGCCACTTCCTTCATTCCCCTGCTCTTTGCTCTGCTTTTGTCTGGCACGTTCCAACTCGGCGACACGTTTATCAGCCGCAGCAGCGCGATTGAGTGCCTTTTTGACCTCCGCCTCCTTTTTCTCTAACTTTTCCTGAATGAACCGTCTTTCGGCTTCCAATTGAGCCTTATGTTTTTCCTTTTGCAGCCTCTCATTCTCAAAAAACTTTTTCTTCAACATCTCGGCCATCGCAACGACTTCCTTGACCGTATCCAGAGCTGCTGCAGCTTTTTTTTTCGACTCCGCTGCCCTCTTCGCCGCTTCTGCCGCCTTCGACGCCTGAATCTCTGCCTTTTGCGCCTCATTTGTGGCGTTCGCCGAATGTTTACTGACATTCGCCAATTTTTCAGTCGAAACTGCAGTGTCCCTTCGCCAAAACTTGGAATGTTGCAGCACCTCCAGGAGAGCAGCTAAAACCGCGGTATCAGCATCAACAGCGGCCTTTTCCGCCTCCACACAGCTTTTCAGCGCCTCTTCGGCGTCGGTGCTAGCGTTCACTGCATCCGCCAGAGCAGCACTTTTTGACACATAGTCCCTGCCAATCTTATCAAAAAGCTTTTTCGCCTCTTCGGCGTATTTCTTGGTCTCTTCGACATCCGTCTTGGCCTGCATGCATTGCAATGCCGCCCCTGTCGTATTGCCAAAAGCATCCTTTGCTGTCAGCAATGTTTTGTCCCTCAGTTCCCCCAGTTCCAATTTGAGCGGCACACCCGTCCTATCCCCTGGAGACGATGAAGACGGTGAGATCGATTGCGGCTGCGCTCCCTCTGCTTTCCCTGGCGTTGCCGCTTTCTTTTCTAATGAATTCGCGCCAACAATTACGCTGCAGGAGAGTAGAAGAAGCAACGAGAAAAAAGGCCTATTACGCGTCATGAACGTCTTCTGTATGGCACACTCTTGTAGGCGAAAAAAAAAAAAGAAGCAAAGAAAAAAAACCGGATCACAAGTCAAATCACCCGCAGAACGCAATACATAAAAAACACACTGAAAACAAAAAAAAAAAAAAAGGTATAATTCGAAAAAAATGACACAAAATTTTCCTCAGAGTAAAAGTAAAAAAAAGGAAAAAAAAAAAACAATAAATAAAGGCATCCAGAAGGTCAACAAGCGCAGTGGTAGCTGCCCAAAGTTAAGGTGAGGAGCAGTGCAGGACCCGAAAAGTACAAAAAGGAACAGCAACAAAAAAAAAAAAAAACCAAAGAAATACATCACACTCACACATGCTTATTAAAAGGAATTTCACTTTAAAAATTTAAGCAAAATCAAAAAGAAACGACAACAAAACGCTGTGCAAATAAAAGTAGAAGTGAATAGCACCCACCCACACACACATAAATAAATGACATCGCCGTTCATACACAGAAAATCTCAGTTTCCGTAACAATAATCTATCTTAAAGTATAGGAAAAAAAAATGCCATTGCCAACTTCAGTTCCTTCATTGAAAAGAACCGCAACACAACACTCCACCCACTCCAGCCACGCAACCCTCATGGCATTCTCGGCGCGTTCATTTCCAACGTAAGTCTTCCCCCTGTCCCTCGCTCTTCGCCTCTCCTCCTCCTTCTCCCGCTGCCGCAGCAGCGCACTGGCCGTTGCGGCAACATCTTGTGCCAAGGTCCGCGCCGCTGCTGCCTTCTCTGCTGCTTCCCGGGTTTTCTGCGCCGCCGCTGCCGCCTTCTCAGCCTCCGCCTCCGCCTCCTTTGCCTTCTCCAGAGAAAGCACAGTCTGCTCCGCCGCCCTCTTCAACAGCTCCGGTCCACTTCCAACCTTAGTCTTCTCGTCCTTCACATGCTTCAGCACCTCCCCAACGGCATCAAGCGTCATTATCCCCGCCGCCTGTGCAGCCTCCTCCGCCGCCTTGCATTC